TTACATGAACAGAAAATTTTAAGAATTCTTTCCTGTCAAACATTTCAGTGATCTAGAGCGAAAATTTGTCTTCCTGCAAAATCCTTGAAAATCGTTAATCTGCCTCCAAATTTCTCCTTCCTCTACATACCATACTGATATGGAATTGCCTAAATTTAGCTAAGGAGCTCGTTGAAGTAAATCATCTATTTTCGCCACACTAATTGAAAGCGTCTTTTTTCCTTGTGTTTGTATCGTTTTAGACAGCACCTCTACTCATGTGTACAACTACATTCCTTGTGACCATCCTGGACAGACATGTGATCAGTCGTGCATCTGTGTTGCAACTCAAAACTTTTGCGAAAAGTTCTGTCAATGCAGTACCGATTGTAAGTCTAGTCTATTCTAAAGAGTTACTGAATTTGAAAAGTAATCTGGGCTTCATGGTTTTGCTACAGTTCACTACGTGACTGGTCCGGAAAACTCGCGCCATCCTCTCAACCAATCAGACGCGACCGATCACGACTTGGTCGCCCGCGTTTTCCCGCGCTTTGGGCAGTTTGGGCACTTCCTCGACCAATCAGATGCCAAATTATAACCAACCGCGCTTCCAATTTTTTGCTTGTTTTCTCTTTGCGCCCTCATTTGCTGTGTGACTATTTGGTTTTTTTTTTATTGGCCAGCGTGATCATTTTGGTTTTAGTTTTACGACAATTAATAAAAACGTGCTCAAACAGCCAATCAGAACAGCTGTTAGTGATGTAAACGACCAATTAGAATGCGAATCATATGCACGTAACCCCAAGAGAGCGCGGGGAAAACGCTACTGGTTTTGCATTTGATAAGCTGAGAATGTAGAGTTGGGTTGCCAAGCAAAACCGAAGCAATTCCAGATTACCAGAATCTCCCCTGAAATCAGATTAAAAGGTATTGTTTAATATTACTTCAGTACGTTATTTCCTCGTTAAAGACCGGCAGTTGTCCCATAACTTTCACCATAAATAATGTTTTGAACTGGTGCTAAGACATTAGTGCAATGAGGTCGACTGTCCCTCCCCTCCGTTAGGTCAAAACCGGTTCCCTGGCTGTCGCTGCAAAGCTCAGTGCAACACCAAGCAGTGCCCATGCTTCTTAGCCGTCAGAGAGTGTGACCCAGACCTTTGTGGGACTTGTGGTGCTGGTAAGTAAAGAGAAAAGCCCTCTGATCGTCGTGTTATCGTCCAGTTTGTTAACTGAAACTGGAAATTGTTCGGGAAGGCAGTTTTTAAGGTGTAAAAAGGTACCTTCAACTCGTAGGGGTTTACAAACTATAAGCTTGTTTAGAATAAGACAAAAGAGATAAAGAGAAACTGAGAAGGAATGAAGATGACTAAGGATAGGTAAGATGGTTTTGGCTTTTTACTTTTATGACGTTGTTTGTTGTGGACAAAAAGTAAATGTTGTTGAATTTCCCTCTATAGATAGCTTTGATGTAGCCACTAACATTTCCTGTAGAAATGTCGGCCTACAACGTGGTCAAAGAAAGGTTTGTACTTAATTTGTTAATTGAACAATTGTATAGTGTACCAAGCTAACACACAAGTACACTTTGGCTTTTTCAGCATTTGTTGCTTGCGCCCTCTGACGTGGCTGGTTGGGGAATTTACATCAAGGAGCCTTGCAAAAAGAACGAATTCATCGGCGAGTACTGTGGAGAGGTAGGAAAAGTTTTTCTCTCTTATTTTTAATGCACACATAGCAGTCACTTCATTCGTTGTCTGCCTGCGAGACTACGAAGGAGAATGATTAAGTAAAACTTTTAAAGCGCCTTGATATTTACTTTGTTTTTTTGGGAACTAAGAGAGGTAACTCAAGCTATCGGTTATTTTTTTTACTGGACTATTTTGTTCAGTCGAGAAAACGTTTGGTCTTTGCTCAAAGACCTCTCAATAAAATTGCTCGAGTTATCGAAAGATTGTCGAGCAGGCCGCTCGCCATCGGGCTCTCGTTTCCCCTAGCAACAGCTATGCTGAAATCGCAGGCTCAGACACCTGAAGAAGAAACAAGAGTATGTACGTCTTTTTTTTTCTCCAAATTGCAATAGAAAGTGAATCTTCACAGGTTTTTACTTTCGTTTCTTTTGCTGTCAGATCATCTCTCAGGACGAGGCCGACCGCAGAGGAAAAGTTTACGACAAGTACATGTGCAGTTTTCTCTTCAATCTGAACAACGGTAGGGAAAGAGGATCCTAACATTTCATTTAATTTTAATCTAGAACCAAATCGCCATTTTGGGCGATGTTAATGTCATTGTTGGGGTTTGAATCCTCACGAGAGACTTGGAGTTTTTTTTCTCCCATCCTCGTGTCAGTTGTGTAGCATTTCTCTTGTTAATTGTGTTGGATTTGCTTAATTTTCAGACTTTGTTGTTGACGCTACTCGCAAAGGAAACAAAATTAGGTTCGCTAACCATTCCATCAGTCCAAACTGTTACGCCAAAGGTGAGAGATCGTTGGACCTTTCTTAAAGTTATCTTTGCTTCTATCTTTTGAATGTTTCTTAGGTACAGTTGCAGTTACATGTGAAAGAAAACACTGTGGTCCATGTTGAATCCAATGGTGTCCTGAAGTCCAGTCCACATCCAATCACTTTATGATAATTTTATTAAAACCTTACTGAAGACTTTTACTGACAACATCAAAAAAATTTTAATTTAAAAATTCGGTAAAATTGTGCAGTGCGCATTGTAAACTTAGTCTCGCTCCTTTGCTTTTAACAGAGCGTTAACCTTGTACACCCTAGCATCAGTATGTATTTTCTCCCTACTGTTCTCCATACATTTCTTAGAGTGCCGACAAGGAGAATTTTTTTAACAATCAAGAGCTTCTTTCGTTGGTGATCAGTATCTTTATTCGCGTGTTGTATGGGGAAATTAGATGCTAGTCACTCGTAGCTAGGGGTCAGAGGGTTGGATATGAATTACTTATTAACTGTGTCTTAGTACACGTTTGTTGCAAGCAAGAAACAAACTGAAAACACAGCACTTTGTTCCATTTCAGTGATGATGGTGAACGGGGACCATCGGATTGGAATATTTGCCAAACGTGACATCGAAGCTGGAGAGGAACTATTCTTTGACTACAGGTAAAGAAAGAAAAGCTATTTCTTCTTCATAAGTAAGCATCTTTGTCTCCAGAGGAAAGATCGATCGCTTTTTCACAAGCTTAAAGTGTCGTCATTGCTGATCCTAGCAATATACAGGGCGTTTGTCACGTGGAAACATAGCAAGGGCTTTGCTTATCATCCTTAACTGGTGTTGCGCGTCAACACCACCGTTTCTTTTCTTCGCCGCGGGAAAGTACGAGGCCTTGAGCATTAGAGCCCAACCCCCACCAAACCTCTCTCCGACTCGTCTTGATTCTTCCCGCGGGTGGATGAACGCGCGTCTTGCAGCGCTAATAATGAGGGCCTGGGAGCAAGCTACACCGTGGTGTTCTCTGTAGCTCAGTGGTGGAGCATCAGAACGCAGAATGGGAAGTTTTGGTGTTTGATTCTTTTAGGGGGAGTCAGTTTTTCTTTTTTTGTCCCACTTGTTTTTCATTGCTTTTTTTCCGTGACTAAATGAATATGTCATAAAATATTTCTTTCTTTCATGACTTAGCTCAAAACTTACCCTCTTTTTTAATTCATGGTACTCAGTTAAAACAACTTGGATGTCCCAATAATATTGTTGCTCCTTCTGGAGGGGTGGGGATCCTAATTCACCGTAGGTTTCCTAAGTACATGCCAGCTTTCTCAGGATCGACGCACTTATTCCACTGACCGCTTGCGACCAATCAGATGACAGTATCCCCACCAGCCCTCCCCCCTTCCCCCTTCCCCCTCCTCCCTCAAAAAAGAAAAACTTAAAAAGTGGCGATGATTTTAAAGAGCAGTGACCTTGATGTTAGTCCTTGATGGAGAAATGCACAGAAAGGGTAAAGTAGATTGCCGAAGAACACAATACTATGGACTCGATCATGGCCCACTCTTTCAGGAGACAAGCGAGCTACTCAGCTTTTATTTTTGTCTCTCTACCTCTGATTTTTTAAGTTACTTGTTTTTTATTGTTTTTTCTTTAAATCATATTTCAGGTACAGTGCTACGGATGCCCTCAAGTTTGTAGGAATCGAGCGTGATGTAGACTTTGCTTTGAGATAAAAAGTTTAAATGTATTTTCCATTGACGCATACAGTATAGATATTGAAACAAAAAAAACGTAGACAAACATTTTGCATATCTGTTTACAATTGTAATTACTTTTGATTAAGAAAAATAAAGACAACTTTTTCATTCTTTTTGGAAAGTAATGGTCGTATTGTGCATTGTTTACAAAATGTATTGACGGAGTTTAGAGACTTAAGAAGGTCTTGGCCGATTTCGGAAGGCTCCGACTGATTTTCAAAATGTTTTGCAGGATTTCGGACGTTTCCGTCAGAGTTTGGGTGATTCGGTCCATTTTCGGACGGGTCTATCCGATTTGGGACGGGTGTGTCCTATTTTAAACGATTTCTTCCCATTTCGGACGGATCTGCTTTTTTAATGACTGTTCTGTCCGCTTTCATACTTCTTTTGTGTCAGTGAGTGAGTGGCAACTAAATAAGTATTAGAGAGGATGTATTGTCTGTTGGGTTCGAGCCATTTATTGCAAATCTACAAAGGCTAATTGCCCTGCCTTATTCTTTAAAGGAGATTTTGTGCTTTCGAGCGCATTCATGTGAAGATCTTTTTGTCCTAAATTGGTCAGCCTTCAAATAGCTTTAGTTCAGCATTATTCCTGCTCGTATTCCCAGAATTGATAATAAATTCTCTTTTCTCTCCATTTTTTTAAAGTAAGGTAGAAATTAGTCAGGTAAAACTTTTTTGCAAAGTTGAGGCTTCTCGACTCACGCTTAACGGTACTGGGATTGCGTGAACTTTGTGCAACTGACGTCAGAGGGCGCGAAGCCTGAAAATAACAGTGTAGTTGTGTAAATAGGGCATCATAGATAAAGAAACGGATTTGTTTGTGTTTGAGATGAAAGAATCCTGTCAACCGTACGGAAATATTGGTCGTCATTTGCATTCTGTGAGTAGGGCGACAGGAAAAGTGAATGATTTTTGTTGGACAGTTGCTATGCTGTCCCGTATGCGGATGATTCTGACAACTGTTGGCCACAAACTGTGAGCGTTTGAAGTCTCCTGTTAATCGAATTATTTGGCTGGTTCAACTTGACGAGTTTGTTTTACAGCTGACCTACGCCAGGACATGCCGAAATGTTATGGAAGCTCGTTAGTGACATGAAACTAAACAACATGACTTCTTCATATTGTTTTTAGACGAGTGACAAGCAAGGCACCTTGCCACGCTACGTGTTATATTGTGCTTACTGTTTGCCGTTTAAATCATTAATTCCAGTTTTATGCGTTCAGAGCAGCTGTTTATGTCAAATTCCAGCGTTCCTAACGTTATGTGATTTTGTGAACATGCACGAGCGAAATTCTACATGACACGATGCTATATAAAGGATGAAAAGTTGTGAGGGAAGATGTAAAGTGGACATTTTGCTGCTCAAACGCGTTTTTATGCTTCCAAGCCATTGTGAATAAAATGGCAGATAATGAAGTACTCCAAGAGGAAGCTAAGAGTGTGAAAAGTAACACTGTTACAGTATTGGTGGAGAACGAAACACCGGTGATCGTTTCGGAGGAGGCCAACGGAAGCGATGGAAAATCTCGTTCCTCTTCAATCGCCTGGTCGTCTACTCCGAGTTTAAATCAAAGAAGTACTGAGAAGTTTCGGAGTTTAAAACGACGATCATCGGTGGAAAATTTTGGACAATTTGGCTTTTTGGTGCCTGCTTTGTCTCTAGTTCCTCAGGCTGACGGGGTAGGCTTAAACTTTAATCGTTTGTTTGGATAACATGGCTTAGACAAAGTCAATCATATAATGATAGCTACATGGGGGTTGTTTTTGGGGTAGCTAGTTTTCTAGGCTAAAAAATTTTCGTTACTGAGATCAATCAACTGTCACCACTTGTTAATTAATTAAAGCGTTAAGTGTGCGTGTTCTTCGAGAATTTCAAGAGGTGTTTTGTAATTAGGCCAAAAGTTGTGCAATCGGAACATCTCGTTGATTGACTCTTTAGAAGTTAGACATCTGTCTTGGAATAATAATCATGGTTTTTAAGTTATTTAATGAGCTTGGTGATAAAATTTAAATCTATAATTCAAGTGCTTAGTATTTCTTAAAGATGTGTATCCTTCGCCAGCTTATCTGGATGATGATGATGAGATTTTTGGGAATGGGATCAAATTCAGTCATCCCACAGGAACTCTACTTCCTGTGAAGAAAGCAACAGTAAACTGTAAAGTACATAATAAGCTGAGTTCTACACACACTTTGATTGGTTCTTTGTTATGATCACATTTTGATGTCATTTGTGATCGATTACTGAACAGACTCACAGCAAAAGGGAATCTATTTTTTGAATAAATGCCATCCCTTATGGTTGTTCTTAGATATTCTTGGATGGTCTAAGTCTAAGAATATCCAACCCAGGAACTTCCTCTCCTGGCATGGGTTAATAGACGCTATTCCTGTCAATTGGAAGAAAGAGCTAAAATCTAAGGCGATACCACACACTCCCCCTTTTGACCCTCAGGATTATAACTTGGTTTTAAATTCTGCTAAAGTGTCTTTATCAGAAATGGACACCAAAATGTTTTACAAAGCGCATATGTCTGATTTGCGTGAAACCCCCACAGCACAGTTGAGATATAATGAAATGTTTCACAATTCTGAGCTTGTGTGGAATAAGATCTACAGTTTGCCTTTCCAGGTCACGTTAGATACATATACGAGAGACTTTCAGTACAAAATCTTAAATAGAATATTATTTACTAACTCTAAACTATTTAAGCTTAAACTGGTTGAGTCACCTTTATGCTCATTCTGTGATAAGAACGAGGAAACCCTTGAACATCTTTTTGTTTTTTGTGAACACTCTAGAGCCTTCTGGAAAGAAATCTCTAGTTGGTTACATGAATGTGGTATTGAAACACTTCCTGATCTAACAGATCAAATTAATATTATGTTTGGCTTATTTGATGTCGATAATCACTTTATGCTTTTAAATCACATCATGTCAATAGCGAAGCAGACCATCTTTCTCTGCAGACAGAAATCTTTTACCCCAAGTTTTATTATCTTCCTCATGCACCTTAAAAAAATTTTCAGAATAGAAGAATACCTAGCTAAAGAAAAGAAAAAACTAAACCTGCACTTAATGAAATGGGAAAAACTTTTACAATCACTCAGTTGAAATAACTTTACCTTGGGTAGCCTTGTATTAATATTTTTGTTTATTTATTCATTTATTTACTGACCTTATACAATTTTATTTAATTTTATTTACTTTATACTACTGTAATTTCCTTTTTTTTTTTTTTGGGTGCAACCAGGAAAATAGCACGAACATTCTGTGAGGTTATTTTGTCATAAATGATTACTAATTCCTGAACCTCTTGCCCTCCAAGATCTGTAGTCATAATGGCACTACATACATACACTTTGATATAAGAAATTAAAGTTATCTGGAGTTCATCTTTGATCTGTTTCATGTTTTCAGGCTGATGCTCTCACCCAGCAGTTTGGTGATCTTCAAGGTACTCACAGAGAACTGAAATTAGCCTCAGCTCATATTGATGATGCACTTAAGGGAAGGTAAGCCCAGTAATGAATGGTTATTGAACAAAAAGCACTCCCCTGCCGATGGTTCTGGATCCAGAATAGGACTCAGTTAGCAATAATTATACCTATGGTGTGATGTCCTCAAGTTCCCTGGGAAATTAGAAAGGCTAATCCCATCATGTTGGTTCATGTCACAAGGATCTATAATCCTCCTCTTTCCTCACATGCAGCCTCTAAGGGATGTCGTATAGGAGACACAGCAGCCTAACTGGTAGCATTCTTGCCCCCTTGGAGAGCTCCAAAGGTTTGATCTCTGGCTGCGTTACTGTGTTGTGTTCCTGGGCAAGACAGATTAGGGGTACTCCCACAGTGCCTATCTCTCCACCCAGGAGTATAAATGGGTAATTGTATTATTGAATTGTTCTGGGAGATGGTGGGGAGGGGGGGGGGGAACAGTGATGGAATAGCATCCTATCCAGGGATGGTAGCACAACTACAAAGAGGCAGGACAAATGCAAGCAGCTCCAGCACCTGTAGCCTTGTGAGCCACCTGACTCGAGGGCAGACCACTCGACCTGGAAATGTCACAGACTTGAAGTAACACAAATCAACATATTTAGATTAATTCAACAATAGAATTATTAATAAAAACTTTTTGTCTTTATTTTCACTCTAGAGGAAGCTATGGAAAGGCTCGCTCATACTTTAAACCAAGGCTTGCACAAAAGTATGTAACAACCATTTCATGAGATCATGATCTAGGTGTTCTTTAAACTTTATTATTAAAATCATTTTTCATTATAATTGTACTAGAGCCATATTTATGATCAGTAACAGTCTTAGGTTGTAAGGCAATCTTTAATCATTAATTTTGATGATGAATTTTTTTGTAGATGCTTTGATATTTTGGACAATCCCTGGTTTCGTTATCTTATCATCTGGAACTCCCTGTTACATTCCTTTCTTATCTTCTTTGAGCCTCCAACTATTCAAGTATTAAGGTAACTTAGTTAAAATGCAATTCATTTGTAATACAATTGCCATCATTAGTATTTTCATTTCTATTATTGTCATCACTGTTCTCATTACCAAGATTAGAATAGTCACTGTCATAGTCACCATTACTATTTACAGGGCATAGCTAGTAAATGGGGTGTACATACAGACAAGTCATTATCATGCATAGTTGCCCCTTTGGTACTAAATTTTTGATCAACATCAGTATCTGAGCATTTGTGCACTTACCCCTCCCTTAACCCAACATTAACCTTGTCTTGTTATCTTGTTAGGGGAGGGGTAGGTACCCAATTCCTCAGATACTGACATTGATAAAGAATTTCTGGTCACAAACTCTCATTAGCATGCTTTGTGTTAGGAAATGCAATTTATAGCAAGACAATCATGGAAAAAAAAAGAACTGCTTGGCCATCAAAATGTTGCTGGAAATATTCTCTGATCTCCAAACACTTTCATTGATAACTCACATAGTGTTCTACACTGCTTCTGCAGAGTTCATCCAATTGTCTATGTTCTGAACATGTCCTGTATTATGCTGTTCATCTTTGATCTTGTGGTGCACATTATCTTTTTGACGTGGCCTGTGTTTTGGTCAAGAAGAACTGAAGGAGGCTGGTGGAATGGGTGAGATTTTATTCATTCGCAACTACTTGTCATTACCTACATTTTAAGGAAACAGCCATGTGATTGACTAAATGAGGAAGAGCAAGATAGTCAAGAACTTCCTAAGAGGATATTTTGAAATGCCTTGAGTTTATATTAATACTGTAAGAGTTTCAACATTATTGGTATTTTTATCTTTTCATTATTCAGGGTAGAATTTGTACTTGTTTGCTTTTTCACTGTGGATTTTGTATTGCTGGTAATATCCAGGTTTTTAGGAGAGGTAAGTTGAAATGCTAAAAATGCACCTAGTACATTTATTTCAATGCTTATTGAAGTCTTGAGTTGGAAATTATTTTAATAACTGTTATTCTTTGATTCTTTCTCCACAGTATATTCCGCCCATTTTTAGATCTTTCAGATTAGCACTTATTTTGTGTAAAGTGAAGAATATTCAACATATTTTTAATGTGAGTATTCCCAAAGTGCATCAAATGTCATATCTGACAACAGTTATTTGTGGAAGAAAATTGTCATTAAATTTTGTATATTAAGTATGATTTCTAAGACACTATGTTTTACAGCACTAGTTGGAAATTTGAATTTTTAATCAAGTTATTTTATACTTGAGAATGAAACATGAATCTGTAGTTTTTATATTTGAATGGTTGCATTGGAAAAACCTTAAAGTGAATACTGATCAGCTACTAAATTCTCCTTTCAAATTGCCTTGTTTCCCTTTGTGAAACATTGGAAGAATTTGATGTTGCATTAAGAGTCAGTGAAGATTCCCATGTATGACATGTCATTAGACTTTACAACTTTGTTTTAGTATTTTTTGCATATCTTGCATATTTTTTTAGGTATTAATGACAATTGGATTCAAGCTTTCAAAGGTAATGTGTCTTCTTTTGCTGTTGATGTTTACTGATCTGACATCAAGTATTTTTGACAGGGTTTTTATACAAGGCTAATTCTAATCAGTGGGCAAGGTTAAAACCACATTGAGGGAGTTGTTACCCTTATGTGATGTGGTAGATCTGAGAGAGGTTTTCTAGTGCAAGGCCAGGTGCTTTTACCCAATCTGCTTTGCTATTCTGCTTGCTCTGTTCCCCTCCTTCCTCCCCCTCCCTTCCTGTCTTTGGGTTAGTATTCATTCCCTATTCTGGTTTGCTAGTAGTTTGTTAACAGGTGTCTGGAGGTGAGGTGTGGCCCAGAAGCCTTTAGTTTTTCTCAATTACAAAGAGAGATTTCATTAACTTTTGTTCCCTAATTCTCTAGAATTAGTAAATGTTCTTTAGCATCAAAATGACTGCATTTTTAAGTGATTAGTTGTTTTGCCTGTTGGTTTTAAATTAAATGAATATTTTTTCCAATGTTTAATGTTGGATTGTTTTCTTTTTCTAGTTATTTTTTATAATTCTAGTATTTGTTCTAATGTGTGCCTGTATCGGAGTTCATGTCCTTATGGACGCTTATCAGTGCAATGGTCCTTTGGATAATTCATCATCAACAACTGCCCATCATGGGTGAGTTGTTTGATTTTACAGAGATAGCATTTCCAAGAAATGTGTAATCTGGAGATGTTTGATGAAATGGTTCACACCTCCATACCCCTCTGTACGGACTTCCTATTTAATCCTCAGGGCCAAGTTGTTCAAAGCTAGGTTAAGATAACCCAGGGTTAGCATGAAATCTGACCTCAGATCTGAAATATTTAAAAGAATATTTAGTATATTTATTTATGACTAAAATTTGATGCCTGAATGTTCTAAAAAGAATTGAAGAAATAATCTTAAATAGGCCTTTGAAGAAGGGAATTAAGAAACCCAGATTAAAACTTAACCCGGGTTAGCACTAATCGGCCTTTCGAACAACTGGGCCCAGATTTAAAGTACACTACAATAACACAAATTAAACATTTCTGATTGGATCTTGTAAGTGAAAGGGTTATGCCAACATTACAGTGTACCTTTAACTGATGACCCAATACTGTGTTTTTTACATGACTGAGGTTGATGGAGAGCTCTTACCAAATATCTACCAATCAGATTGCTTTATTACTAGTCACACACTTTGGTTACCTAAGCTTGTTTGATGCTGACACTGTTTATTACCTTTTAGGAAAACAGTTCCATGTTATGTGCAAAGTGAAGAAAAAGTTTACCAGGGGTATGAACTGACTATAATTTAGTCAGACTGAAAATATCATGACAGCTTTGGAATCCATTCTCACTAAGTTCCTAATGCTGTTAAATATTTATCTTTTGCCCTTCATATATAAAATCATTAGATGAAAATGGTAAACAGAAATTTATTTGTACACATTTAAAATCTTCCAATTAAACCACATTGTCAGTCTGCGAGATGTTTATATCATTTGAACACACTCTATCCTCCGATTATTGTTAGATAGCTAAATAAATGCAATTGTAATTACCAGCTCCCAGTTGGTTTGTTAGCTCAGTTGGTAGGGCATTGCACTACTGATTTTACAGGTCATGGGTTCAAATCCCATTCAGGCCTGAATTTTTTTCAGGCATTATTTTCACTACTGCTTAAGTAGTGTTCATTACTTCAAAGATCACGATTAATTTCTTAATCCTCAGTTCATATTATGTGATTTTCATATATTCGCAGTCATTGATAACTGATTTATATAACTTACATGTTTTATAGAGATGTTCCTCTCTTTTTTCCCTTTGTAGGGCTTTTGATCATGTGGCATTTGGAATGCTTAAGTTGTTTGTCCTACTATCAACTGAAAATTTCCCAGTAAGTATAATACAAAACTGCTGTACCCCAAATACACCTGCCATACCCATGTGGCTTGCACTAAAAGAAGCTTCACACAGGTCTCAAAATTGATGCTTGCAAACTCGCAAAATGCAAGTGATTTAATGATAAACTGCAAATGAGAAAAAAATCCACCAGCAAACGTTTGTTACATAGAATCATCCATGTCTCCCAAACATGCAGTAGATGGGTTTTAAATATTTGGTCTCCTTTGTTGTTGTCCTGACAGCCACTTAGTGGCTGTCAGGACAACAACAAAGGAGACCAAATATTTAATAGCTATTTTATTAAACTTTTCAGCTCATTATTAGCCTGTGTTAAATATCAATTGTAGTCTTTATATCAGATATGGTCATTGACATTTCAAAGGGAAAGACTTTGCTAGTGGTCTCACCAGTTTGCTAGTGGAAAAAAAATGTTACTTGCAAAACTTTGCAATTGGACTTAAAAGTTAACTTTGAACCCTGTCCACATGGGTCTGTTTATGAGTTTTGTTGTCTTTCTTGCAACAGGAGGTAATGCTTCCAGCCCTTAGAGTGGAATCAGCTTATTTTATTTATTTTGGTAAGGTTTGGATAACTTAGTTTTTTATAATGAATTTTTTATCAGTATTATTGTGATTTGATACCTTCTGTAAAATCTCTTTCGTTTTCAAATTTCGAGTAACAATTTTTCTCTTCCTCTCCTCCCTTTGTATTCTTTTTGTTTTCATGTGAGGTGCGTGTGATTTCACAAATTAGCCAATCATGTCATAGAACTCTAATCTTGACATTGGAAAACTGATGTGGACATTTTTCATGTACTTTTCTTGTTTGTTTTCGCAGAGTTTTTGATAGCTGTTTAAGAGCTTTCGTTCACATAAACTTGTTACCCCTTTGTTTGAAATTTTAAGAAGTTTCGGAGTTTTTATTTTAGCCGAATTCTGAGGTCCATTGAACAAGTTAAATAAATATTTTCTACAGAGTGTGGACTCTAGCCTCTTTTTTCGTAACTGGATTTTTTACACCTTCTTTAAAATTTTCAGGGCTGTTTGTGTTTGTTGGCGTGTTCTTTTTGACAGCAATCCTTCTGGCAATTGTGGTGGACAGTTATTGGTATGTCATCACAGTTTTAGGGTATCTACATTTATTACATGCATTTTGAAATCACTGGTGATCCTTGCAATCTGATTGGCTCTCAGCAGTGTAATTTATTTGCGAGCTGCAATATTTTTTGTTCTAAATTGCAACTTTTTCCCAGGAAAATAACCATTTTTCAAGCTTTTCCTTTTTGGTATGTCAAGTGAACAGTGAACAACTCAACTAAGACAGTTTCCAACGTTAACCAATTTTTTTCTATGTATATCTAGGGTTTATTCCAAAAAGCATGTCAAGAAAGAACGTGCTAGAGAGAGAGCTGAACTGGCAAAGGCTTGGAATCTTTTAGATCCTCTTGGAAAGGGTAGGTTTGCTCCTTTTTTCCATGTTAATAAATAAGTAGATCCGCCTCTCCCATTGGTCCATCCATCTGTCATGCAAACAAATTTATGACCAGACCAATCAATCATTCAGTGATCGATTTAATGATAGATCGCCTCGAAGAAAGGCTAACGATCGAAACGCTAGCTCGAAAAACTCTATGGTGGCCAACTAGCATGATCAACTCGGTTGATAAAACAGAATTACCTTGTAACACACTCACTGACGCACCACCCAGCACCACAGTTTCTTTAGAAGCTTGCCCCCTTTCATCAAATGAAAGATCATAATCAATTTTTTTTTTCAGGAGCCTTGAGCCTTGAAGATGAAAAATTCACTTTGCTGTTTCACCTCTTGAAGCCAAAGGTAGGCTTTAATTAAACAAAAGTTAGTGATCAGAGAGCTGTAAACACCTTCCTTTTTTTTAGTAACTGTGGTTTTATGTCTCTCCAGAACTCAGATGCAGAGAATTTAGTTCTGATTGAAATGTTAGATACCAATGAGGATGGTGAAGTAGACTCTTTTGAATGGACAACGATGTTGAGCAAGGTGGGAATTTGTAAATAATTGACTAACAGATTCCATGTTGCCGTACACCTGTTTAGTAACAGATCACAGATGACGTCATCATGTGGTAAGATTTAAAACGTGGTACACGAGACGCAGCCGAGTGTGTCACTGACGTTCTTGCCACATGTTGACGTCTACTGTGATCTATTACTAAACAGACCTGCAGCAACATGGAATATGCTTGTTTATGTGATGAAAAAGCAAAATGTTAAGTGTAACGTCATCTATGGGTCTGTTCTCCAATAGATCTTAATTAAGAAACAATCGCAATGCGTGTATTATTCACCTCATCATATAACTCTCGATTGTCCTGCAGGTTTTAAGTCTTGAATTTGAAGATGACGACGACCTCCTGTTACTAGATGAGACAGTAAGGCGATTTAATTTTACACGTGGGCATTTATTTGTGTGATCACCGCAGACTGTACCTGTCACTGTGTAACGCGTCATTATTGTTTATGTTGCAATTACTTGTACTTTTTGGATCTAAAAATTGTAAGTATGTTCTATAAATCCGTGAAAAAGTGCCCCCCTCTGCTATGCGCCCCTTCTATTGGTAAAGATTTGAAATTAGCACCCATCCTCTAATGTAAATAAGTGCCTTCCACTTTAACCCATTTTCTTGGACGACTGTGGTATTGTTTGTTCTTAAACACTTTCGGACACATTTACACATTCGTACGGTTTTTAGTTTTTGATAACATTTCAAAATTTGAAAATTAATAACGGGTACCAAGGCGACCGTTGCTAAAACTTTACGATCAGTTTTGAATGTCAATATCCGGTGTGTATGCTGTTGACGTTTCAGTAAGTAAGCGCCGCCCCTCCGCCCCTCCCCCCCTCCCCCCGTTTCTTTGAATTAACGAGGGTTCGATGATTGGCGGCATGTGGAACCATGAAAAATTCGATCTAAAAGAAAAGTAACAAAGGCACGGGAAATTCTAAGACGTTTCATTGAAAAGTTGTTCCCGCTTTTAAAATTTGTTATTTATTTACAATTTTTTTATCCATCTTCAGCCTGGTCTATCAAAGTGGATGATCAGCACTCGAGAAAGCGCCAAGTCCCTTTCAGAGGTACACAGTAAACACTGGCTAAACTAGGAACCATTGTTATGTTTTCAGGGTAGCCAAAGTAACGAAAAGTGAAGAAAGTGCTACACTGGGAAACATTTCTTTTGGAAGAAAAATGTGTGTGCGAACAGCACAATTTTTCCAGCTGAGGCATTTGCTTGTTTCCGACTAGCAAAATTTGTCTCCGCGCCATCTATGCATGTCTCCTGCGCAGCTAAACCGGCTAGATTGCCTCCGCAACAATGTTTCGCATCGACTCTTCCTGTAGAAGGCCGTTGTATAATTGAAGCAACGCGTCCAGGCAGTCATACCGTCAAAGATAAGCTTTGATTTTTAACTACAGTGTAGTCTTTTTTTCATAATTTTCTATTAATATCATGCATCTTTATTTCAGAGTATATTATTCTCTCGTTTCATCTTATTCCTGATCATTGTACACTGGTAAGTGTTTTTGTACTGTATTATTTTTTTACTTTTCTTTGTTGAACAATTAGTGCGTGTTACTTATGAATAGCCTTTAGTAACTTAGACTATATGGCGTTTTCTCTCGAACAGCATTCTGTTTGCTTTTAAATGGAAAGGACAAGACAAGCAGATTGAATTCATAGTACAAGGTTTGTCGTAAGTTGCTGTATAGTTTCTGTTAATTCTATAGCAGCGCTGGTTTTAGTTGACGACTGATATCTTTCAGTAATGATAAACAGGGGCAATGGAGATTAACTTAAAAAAAGTTCAGAAGATATTTCCAATCGCGCTGTGTTTTAATCCTCATTTTTCCATTTTATTATTAGCATTTCAAACATTTTTTCTCCTTTTTTTGTAGTATTTAGAAGTGTTATCGTTACAATTTTCCTGGTAAGTTTTCTCTTTTTTTTAATGTTAATAATGTAAACGAAAATAAGTAACTGTGAAGCTTTTGTTATTCAGTACTGCGCTTTGGAGAAATTTTCAACTGAGTATTACTATTACTTCTGTTTTGTTCTACTTCGCTCTGTGATTGGTCAACAAACTCGCCCCACTCGCTTAACTAATCAAATGCAAAACTAAAACCCATCACGACTTGGTCGCCTTCGTTTTCCTGCGCTTTAGGCGGTTTACTTGTTTTTACTCTGAGTTCTTATTGGTTCTTCAGGATATTTTCCATTCTTCTGATTGGTTGTTGTAGTTACTTTGGTCTTGGTTTTAAGACACTCAATAAAATTATCACATTTAAGTAGTGCTCAATTCTGTTGTTTAGATTGAGGGCGGCACACGACTTGTGGCATTAGGAAGACGAATTTTACAACCTCAGGAGATTCTGGACCTTCTTTTGGTGAGCAGTTCAAAGAGTTTCTGAGATATGTTTTTCCTCGCCTTCTTGGCTCCCGTTTTCATTTTTTTGTTCTCTGTCCCACCCTTCCCCCCCCTTCACTTCCTCGATGCAGCGATCTCCTTACCTCCCCTCCCCTCCCAGACTTATACTTTTTGAACTATCCTTCCTACAGGATTAGCAGCCATAATCCGGGACATTTCTTTTCATCTTTCAGGTCGTCTTAGCTTTCTGCTCAAACTTTGTTTGGTACACCTACTACCCAGACTTCTTCTGGTTCAGAGATTATGCGACGACAATTTCCAGCCTAGCTGTGTTTTGTCGCCTTCCGTTCAACAACAGTCAGCTGAAGCAAGCTGTTTCCATCTTCTCTAGGATCGCACCAGTAATGGTGGATCTTCTGTGTCTCTTAGGAATAATTTTGTGAGTTCAAATATTTGAATGCCAAGTCTGAAAAGAAACTTTCTGTCTTCTTTACCCTTAGCAGTGTTAATTGTGTTAAGGTTGATCAGGCCGAGCAAATCGATGAAACAAATGAAACACGACGAGGTTGAAAGTTTCATCTGGTTACGTTGAAGTCAGGCCTTTGCATTGTTTGGATTGCTCTAGTTTTGCTGAGGTTAAGAAACTGGAATAAGTGTTTGATCTAATGTAACTCCTGGGTCCAAACCTGTTACGTGGGAAGGATAGATTCGAGGCTTTAGTGATATTGGTAAGCTTAGCCTAGCTTCTTTTGTTTAGCTTCGCCTCTTTGTGTTTTATGGTGTGCAGGTTTCTGTTAGCGAGCGTGGGAATGGAGCTGTTTCATGACGTGAGTGAGACAAGCGAAGGACATATGTATCTTCCAGCATGCGGTTTAGGATTTCAAACATTTTGGTAAATTGTCATCAGCGAATTATGTTCCGCGTTTAAGATGAAACTTTTACCAGTACTTTTTTTTTCCGAAATGAGATATCCTCATAATACAGAGCTGTCAAAAAAGCCAGTTGTCTGCCACGCTCAGACCGCCACCTTCACATAATTCTACCCTACGTTCTGATGAAAAATACCAAATCTGTGAAATTTATACAGTACCCATTACTCACTTTTTAAGTTGAAATGAAATCATGATTTACCATAAACAAAGGTAGATGTCAGAATTGGTTTCACGTTCCGAATTTGCGCGAAGGTTAGAGTGAACTTCGTGGAACACCTGGCACATTTTATTTAAATAGTTCCCAGCTTTTCGTGTCATCTAACGCCGGAAAGAACATGGTGTTTACCAGACCCTGCATGCCTGCCTACTATTTCTTGTTTGCCTTCTACTTTCGAAACTATTGACAGACCTATGTTAAAGTGGTTCTCCTTTTTTGTTCAGGTGTGCATGTCTGATCTTGTTCCAGATGGTAACCACGAGTAACTGGCATGAAATTATGAACTCAGTAAGTTAGAATTTTCTTTCTCGACCTTCTTCTTAAACAGGGGAATAGAAAAAAAGGAGGAGGGCACAAGTGGTGGGGTGTGAGAAGGGAGGGGGGATTCTCGATCAAAGGAGAAAATATAGGGGAAAAAAAAGACCGCGTAGGTCTGACATTACATTTTAATGTAAATTGTAAGATCTGCGAAGAACAATAAAACTACATTCCCTTCGTGGACCGTATTTTGCACAATAGAGCTGAGTGGGGGTGGGGGGAGGGGCCGAGGGTCCGAAAGTACGCTCTGCCCCCCTTCCTCCCTCCCACCCATGGTAAGAAAACGTGATAAACTATAATTTGAAACAACTTGGCATTCCCCAAAATGCAAGTAAAACACAACAGAAGGGTCTGCCTCCCTTACAAAATAATACTGCTTAGACTCCCCTCCTCCCCCCCTTCGGCACTTCAGAATTAGAGAACCTCATCTGGGTTTACATAGCTTCGTTGAACACTCACGAGTTTGGGAGAATTTAAGACAGCTACGTCAATAAACTCCTTTATGTTTAGTTGAGGCTACGTACACAGTGAAAAAGTTCTGTATTACTGTTTTAAAGTATTTGTCAAAAATTTGCACGAACCTGAAATGTTATAACCGTTTTAACATACTTTCATCTATCGACCAATGAGAGGGCACCCAGAATTTAAGGTGTTTTATAAAAATTGCTGGTGGATATTTTTCAAAGTTTTCTCGCGAAATATTGAAAGTTGTATTTCTCTTTTTCATTTACCAGGTGATGGAAGCCACTCGATCGAACTGGACCAGTTTGTATTTTGTTGCAGCATATATCTTGGTCAACATGGTGATCATGAAGTGAGTGTTGTGTTAAAGGTTGTCTTTCTTAATTTTCGGCTCTATGAAAACCACTCAACGCTACTATGTCAAGTAGCATCGCTGACTAGCTTGTTTGTAAACTGTGAATCAACGCTGTAAACTTAACGTCTTCCATTCAACAAAAGAATCTTCACACTTTTTTTTGGATTACCACAACTCACTTACAATACTAAAATTAATAACGGTGCGAGTATTACATACCATGTCAACATTTTGAAAGCAGCAACATTGCTTGGAATTCTCACGTCCTGCTTACAATTGTTACATTATTTATGATACTGACCAATAACTTATTACAATGTTAGTAATATTTATTGTTATTAGTGACTAATGTTTATTTATTTATTTTTTTACAGTTTATTCGTAGCCATAGCCATTGAAGCTTTTAACAAACTTGGGACATTGGATGAAGATCAGCCGCAACTGAGGCCACACATTGAGAGACAAGCATCAGACCAGTACCACTTCACTACCACTTCAGACGTAAGACAGCTTTGCATTCTAAACAAGTTTGTCTATCGCCAGTTAACCTCCTTACCGCCTCTACCTACCCCCCTCCCCCTACTAGCTTTCCATTAGGTTTCTGGGGGTAGCTGTACTCCTGGCCGCTTGATGCCGAAAAGACCGGGAAAAGCTCTACGCGCGGGGGGGAGGGGACCACCTGGTTAGCAAGCTGATCTTTCGATTTCGTGAATCTCTGCCCACAGGTCTCAATGAAGCATCAAGCTGTCCACATGATCAGCAGCGTGGCCAGCAGTTTATTCGGAAGTGTTAGGGTAAGTGCTTTGTACTCAGGTGTCACGCACTTTTTTGTTAATCTGCCTCGACTCCTCGTTGGTACCAAGTGATATTTTCCTTTGATCTGTCAGGCCTTTGTGATCACCGTAATTTTGTTTTTATGACGCTTGATCAAAAAACACTGAAAATATCAAATCAAAACTTCGAGGAAGAATATCATGGTTTCTAAAAAGCGGCTAAATTGTCCAAAACAAGTTTCTATTTTCCGTTTTGGAAATCTAGGCTTTCCAACGGTTTTCACGCCGTTGTTATATGATTCCAGTGTGAGTCGCTATTTTGGTCCAACCTTTGATACTTGACTCTTTACCACAGGCAGACCAAGTTGCAGAGAGAAGACAATCCCTAACAGCGGCAGACGCCTTCAACTTTCAAGTTAGAAGAGGCACAATCAAACGAGGATCAATCATGAAGGTACTGTCGTTGGAGCAGTTGCTTGGCGCCACTCTCTCGACCAATCACATGCTAGCCTTACAACAACTTGTTCCCTTGCGTTTTCCACCATCCGGGCAGTTTGCTTGTTTTGCATCCTTGGGTTTTGTTCCCATTGGTTCCTGCGATACTTTCCTTCGCTCAGATTGGTTGTTTTGGTTGTTGAGATTTCTAAGCTTTTTGTTTTTTGGTACTTAATCGAGAGGCGTTCTGAAGAGTTAGGGGCTGGTGCTCATAGGAAGTGTCCTGTCAAAATATCTCGCCACTCAAGGGGAACGGAGAATTTGTCAGTGCAATATACCCCAGACCCCGGTTGTTCGAAGTCTGGATAACACCATCCACCGAATAAATATCAATCCGGTGGATAACGCAGAAAATTTTGTTAACACTTTCCACTGGATGGTGATTTATCTGTTGGATAGCGTTATGCGCCCTTTGAACAACTGTTTCCAGATGAATACACGAGATCATGGTGCAAGGACCTGTGATGTCAAAAACGCCCTGTATCTAGCAAGAATTTCGTCGCTGTTAGCGTTGCACTAATATCGATGGCAAGCAAGTAGATTATGGAAGTTCTGTACGCGATACCTTTTGGTTGGCTGTGCGATAATCGTGACGCTGTTTCTATTCACTTAATTTTTATTTCTTTTTTTCGTTCTTTTTCATAGCATAGACAAGCTTCTATAGAGAAAAACGCCGAAGGAGACAAGAAGGAAGACGTAAGCAAATGTGTGTTATTGAAATGTGATAACTGTAAGTTGAGGGAAAAGATTATGCTTAAGAAACTTTGCTGGCAGCTTAATCACTTTTTGGAGATTAGTTTCCCTAGGAGGCTCAGAAGGTGAGAAATTTCTCCCGGGAGGGGGGGGGAGGGCGCGCATTGTAAGAGCCAATTCTTTTCAAGGTTATATCCCAAGGAGGTTGTCCTTAGATACGGTTGTCCCCTCTTAAGGACTCACATACTTTTAAGAGATTATTTCTCGTAAGGGGGGTCCGGTTAGGATTAATTTTAAGCTTAACCAGAGAGAGAGGGGGGGGTTAGTGGAGAGGTGTAAAGGCGGCTAGAAAATGGAGATTATTTTCTCCCTGGATGCCTGGTTAATAAAAAGTTGAAGAGGCTCAGATACCAGTTGTAGGTTGTGTTCCTCCCCCACCCTCACTTTTTTAGAAGATTATCATCGTAAAGGGGTTTAAATATTAGACGAGGCTGGGAAGAGATCAGAAGCTTAGGAGTTGCGGATTTGATCACATAAAATTAAAACAATGATATTTTTTTGTGATGTAGGATGAAGTGTTTGTTCAAGAAGGAAATGTACGGGAAAAAGGTGACAAGGTAAGGAACTGGTTTTGTTTGTTTTTGTTTTTCTTGTGCTTTTCCCGAAAAGGAAGAAAGTAAAGCCTTTCACTGGCTACCTGTGCTGAGAGGCTCATGAGTATTTTTTGTCGAGTTTTTCTCTTGGAATCGCTGTGACCACTTAACGCTTTGTTACCTGTACAAGGTCTGTGAAGTTCTGTCTGTGACCATCTCAAGTGAATTGTAGGAGATTGTTGTGCGCGAAACACATAGATTGAAGTCTGTGACCTTCGTATTTCAGAGAGAGCGGGTCCTTAAGATGCGAATGAAGGAGAAGAAACGAGCGAAGCGGAAAATGGCCAATGCCGAACACAAGGTACGAGTGGCGACGGCGTTCAGAGGAAACAAAGAAACTGACTTGGACTTACAAGTTGGAGATGAAGTTACTGTGCTGGTCAAGGTAAGGCCTGGTGGTGTTCAACTACGTGAGATCCTGTGCATGCCGGATAACTGTACTTAGGTACCCTGTGAACCGTCTTAAGATGTCGATGGCAAATCTTTTCCCACAACAAAGCGTTTAAATGAACTTGCGGCAATTCATGGAGACATGATGACTATAGTTGCGTCTTTCCTTTTCTCATTTTAGAAAGATGATTGGTGGCAAGGACGATGTAGAAGTAAAGTAGGATGGTTTCCTGGTAAGCTGTAGTTCGTTCTTTTAGCCTCGGTTGTTCGAAGGGTGAATATCGCTATCCACAGGATAATTCTCCATCCGGTGGATAGCGCAAGACATTTGGTTAACATTTATCTAACGGATAGCGCTATCCGCCCTTTGAACAACTTGGACTTGATGACTACCTGTCAGCTTGTGTTGAACAAGTAAAATATTGATGTCATAAATTGTGCATATGGAAAAGTCTGAATGTGTTTATCTTTGGTGTTTGCTGCTAGCTGGGTCTGTTTTCATTTACCTGCATTCTGATGGGCTTCACGTTAGTCTTTGTCCCCCGTAACACTCATGCCCTATATTTAGCCATCTTTAATGGACAATCTTGGTCAAAATTCCTCATGCAAGAAGTTCGGACGGACGAATAATCACGGAAATCAGTTTCCCTGACAGCCTCTGTTTTCCGCTCACTCGCTCCTTTGGCCGTCTCCGCTAACTGAGAGCCTGGCGCGGGCTTGGTCAATAACGCTTTTGTCTTCTATTATCCATAGCTTCTCACGTGATCTTAAGAACAGTAAAGGCTGTTCCAGAGTATGGAAAACACAGATCAAGGAAATCCACTGCAGGGACCAGTGGAGAAAGCCCCTCCCCCTCCCCCATAGCCGCTGAGGACGAAAATGCAAACAACAAGGTACACTACTAATTTTTAATGCTTGTATTGTTGAATGGCTTTTAGCCTGAGAGGGACTTTGCGGCATTTGGACAACATAATTCCGACTAGCTGATGATTATTAGAGCGCTTTTCGATTGAATGGCGTAAAACCAAAGCCAAAGTTATCACAACAGCCAATCAGAAGAAAGGAAATATCACAAGGAGCCAATGAGAACTCAAAGTGAAAACAACCAAACTGTTTAAAGCGCGGGAAAACGCGGGTGACCAAGTCGTCGTGCTTGGTTTTTGTTTTGCATCTGATTGGTTGAGAGGTCGGTGCGAGTTTCCTGGACCAATCAAAAAGCGAGGAAAAGCGAAACCAAAATAACTCATAACCCTGGATTACTTTCGACAATCACAGGATAATTGCACGTTCTTTAATATAACCTTAAATACTTGAGACAAAGAGCCGTGGTGGCGAAGTGATTGGCGCATTGAACTTCGGGTAGAGAATAACCAGTTCGCGCCCTGGCCGGGTCATTGTGTTGTGTTTTTGGATAAGACATGTGACTCTAACAGGGAGTCTATCCACTCAGGGGAATAAATGAACTGTCACAGAAAACTGGCGAAAGGAGAATTAATGAACTATCACTTTTCGATTACTGGGATGATGTTAGCTTTTTAAAGCTGAAAATTGATTGAGATTAGCGGCTAATTTTTGTGTCTTGTTTAACGAAATAGAAAGCTAAGCGTTTTCCACAATTCCAGGTACAAGATCTTGTCAAGGAAAAAAGCTCGTCTTCTTTGGGTCGAAAAGAAAACACCTTCTTCCGTGATAGATCCTCCACATCAGGCAGCCAAGTTCCGTGAGTAAAACACGCTTTGAAGAGCCCTTTAACAATATTTTTCCATTTAAATTGCTCCTCGAGGGATTTTGATAACTTATTGAATATGCCGCTTGCGCTTGTGCCCGCAAAAGCGGCCGAAAGATAAAACCCAAACACGAGAGCTTGTACACTAAATAGGCAGTGGTAAGAGGTCCTATAGGGGTAGGTACGTCATGTATGGGGACATGCCTATAGGGGGCCGTATACCAATGGTAACTGGCTTTTATCGAAACACCTGATTCATCAGAATGCACGTAAAAATTTGAAGTACTTCGCAAGGGTTCTTGGTCTGAAATAAATCTTTTCAACCCATTCTGTGGTTTTGTTTTTTTTGCAGCAGTACACCGCCAGCTGTGAGAGGCCGGGTATGAAGCGTTGTGTCTTTTGAAGCTTAAGAAAATGATCTTTACACGGTTTGATTCATATCTTTACTTACAGAGCTATTGATCCAAGACCGTTTTTTGTTCTCTTGTAGGTGAAACTGAAAAAAACTGGTGACTGGAGAAGGGAAATTCTTGGAGACATGACTGTCATGAACGCAGAGGAGGTACTGTGTTGAGTGTATTTGCTCTTAATACTGGATCTCCACAAAGAGTCCCAAAAGGCTCGCCAAAGTTCTGCCCGTTTCTAAGCTTTTCTCACTTTGTCCCACAATCGTTTGTTGGCAGGTTGAAACCCCAAGTAAGCCCGAAATCGGACGAAGCAACAACAACAACAACAGCTCTTTATTTAAACCCTGTATTTATGGTAATTGTTGCACTAATAATTACGAAAAGTGCCTGCCCTAGCTGGCCAGACAGAACCGTCCGGAATTAGACGAAGCCACTGCACCGCATGCGATCGGCAAAGTTAACAAACTTTTTAACTCCTCTTTGTTCTGTCTTCCAGTTACGCGAATTGAACAGCATCATGAGAGCGGAGCTGAGAACGCCAACAGGACTACGCTCAAAGAGACTGGTGATTGACGTTGATCAAATTAATTTTATTCAAGCTTATTTAATAGAACTAATTTTTGACTGGACGCCTAAAATAATGCAAAATTGCACTGGTTTTGCTTCACCTCGTTCTGTGATTGGTCCAGAAAATTCGCACCACCTTTTCAACCAATCATGTGCGACTTGGTCACCCGCGTTTTCCCGCGCTTCGGGCCGGTTTGCTTGTTATTACTTTGATTTCTGTCGGCTTTTAGTAACACGCTTTGATTTTTTTTTACAGCACTCAAAATGCGCTCAAAAAAATTGATGTCCCTCATATTTAAAAAGAAACTCTCAAACTGACTTTAAAGAAGCTACATCACATTTTGTAGATCCACAAAAAGTCTAACCAAATTTTGTTAAAGTCCGATATTTACAATCCGATGTGATTATCCGCCATTTATGCTCATCTATTCATTCTTTAAACATACTCCTGCTCCCTTGATGTTCCTCTACTCCATCAACCCTTCACTCCCGAGATCTAAGTACTAATTCTCCTTACCGTCAGCCATATATTTCTCATAAACCTGATCTGAGGATTTGGTGTTTAATCAAGCCATATCCCCGAGTGGATGGTTTTTTTTTCTGCTTTCTCCCCATCACCATCCTACTTGACAGTGTATTGATATTGTAAGGAGAAATTACTTATTGATCTCCTCTTGGGGTTAGAAGATATGTCTGGGAATTGTTAACGATGAGAATTATTTTTCATGCTATGATGGTATTTTCTTTTAGGGTCCACTAAGATTGAACGGTGACGATGATTCTATAAGGTATGGTCTGAATAATGTGATCTGTTGTCAGTCATCTTTGTTAATCTTTACAGATTAGGTCGTCTGAGTTTAATTTGCAATTTCTTTTCCTTCATTTTCCAACCAGGGAATGTTTCATTAGCGAAGACCACGAGCTCATGGAAATAAACCAAGGTGAGAACGGTTATCTAAAACTTGAATGACGTAACATCCGGAAAAATTTTACGCAAGAATTGTTGTGCTAAACACAAATTTCCTTGTCCAAAACATAGAAATCAAGTGAATGCCTGACCAGTGGGCTATACATAAGGGATTACAGGTGTCTTAATTTAGTGCAGAGCCTTGATGTGCTGATGCATATGCAGTTATATTTGACAGGAGTCCACCATATTGTTGGATTTAACACTAAAGTTTAAGAGTTTGAATCATGTGAAATGTATGACGCGCAGAGGGGAGACGTCTTCTTCAGATCTTGGTAGAGGAGAAATAAAGACATCTTTCCTTATCTGCATACAGGTATCACAGTTTGAGAACCTGTATATGAGAAGAATACGACCTGTAAATTTTCAGTGTCAATTTTTCTTTTTCAGGTCGACCAAACAGTGCTCTAGATCCCAGGCCTTACTCTGGGCGTTATTTAGGCAGGTCCAGTAGTCCACGGTTTAGTCAGAATTCTGTTGGTCCTTTGAACAGATTACGAACCGAGAGTGGAAGCAGCAGTGAACGGTCACCATCATCAGCAAAAATACCTTCGGTTGAGGTACGTGTAGGCAGAGAGCACAGTGATTTTTAACTTAAAAACCCTTTCAACTCCCAAGATCTGATTGCTAATTCTCCTCTCTAGCTGCTACACATTTTCTCGTAAATGAGTCAAGAGAATTTGGGGTTCGATCAATGTAACAACTTGTACGTGATAATTTTGAGTATTCTCATTTCCTGTTTGCTGAATAATGTATGGATTCTCTGGGGAGAAGTTACATGCTAATCACTTCTGGAGATAAAGGGTTAATGCTTATTTGTGATGAACATTTTAAATGAGAGGTTTTTTCTTGTAATTTTTTAATGCATTTTCTTTTGGTTTTTGCTTTTTTTTTTAAGTTCTTCAGTCCCGGTACCCCAACACCACCCTCCACAACCACAGAGCAGCTCTCGTCCTCATCCGCAAATAGTGCCAGGCTCTCTTCAAGCCCGAAATTGTCGCCGAAGCAAAAGAGACCTGCGGAGAAGCCGAAGAATGGTGAGATGCCAGAGTGGATGAAAAATTTTGTCGAAACAAACAATTTAGTGGTTGGTAAAGATATTAAGTTGGACGAATCAAAGGCTGAGGGAAGACGGGGCTCATCAACTTCTCCATCTGGCACTGGAACTACAAAATCAGGAACCAAAACAAAAACGGGATCTAAATCCTCCGGATCGGGATCACCGAGGGGTTCAGGATCCCCGAGGAGTTCCGGAGGTACTAGCGGGACAAAATCCCGCTCGTCTCCCGGTGTTGCTAAGAAAGGAGGGACAAGTCCCGTCGGATCCCGAAGTCCTGGAGGAAGGCCTGTCACACCGGGCAAAGGACTTAATAGGCAATCCGTTTCATGAGACTGTTTTTATTTAGAAGATAGAGCTTCTCTTTGAACAAGATTAGCTGGTCACGCTGGGTTGTTGGGTGACACAAAACATGAAAACGAGGGTGACCTTCTTCTGGTCACACAATTGACCATCGTGGAGAAAAGGGAAGTTTCAAATTTAGTTCATACTCAGGAGTTTTACTGTTCAATCCTACCAAGGATATCCAAGCGTATTCCTCAGGGGTAGGGCAAGGAGTCGTTGTCCGCACTACCTCTGTGTGCTAGTAGTCAGGGGAACTCTCTCCAGTCCCCTGTTAGAGAGAAAATGACTCATCCAAGTTAGTGTAACACACAACACACATAAGATAATTTATTTTTCTGTTTTGTAGATATATTTCATGTAGTTAGTAAAGTATTTTCTAATTTTCTCTTCTAAAATATTTGGTATTAAAGATATTGTACGAACACTGTTTTCCTTTTGTCTTTCCATGCGCCCTTATCACTTGTTCCTCTGAATACATTCCCTTTGTGCGTGACTCTGTCATCGTGGTAAGTTTCTACTCCTTCAATTTTCTTACGTTCATATCGCGAGCAAAATAAATATTTCGCGGACAGCTATCAACGAAATTTAGTTAAAAAGGAAAAGTGTGGAGTAAGGGTTAATGTTAAGCAATGGTCCCTAAAAGCTCATTACCAAATTTCTATTCTTTCATTATTCGTGCGCTTGTAACTCTGGGCAAAGAAAGAATTCTGGAACAAGTTATATCACGTTAGAAAGAACGCGATTTCTTGTGTATTGTGCGCAAGTGTCAAAGGTACAGTTCTCTTGTGGGCTGAAAAAATCCCCTCTGAATATTTAAACAATAGAGTTTTGTTAATGAGTTTAAAAACTCAGTTTACTTATGGTTCTTCCAGGTTCCAAAAAGCTCATTAACAAATTTTTATTAATTTAATATTCATGGTTTATATCTCCGAGAAGCGGAGTAATTCTGGGACAAGTTCTATCACGTTAGAAAGAGCGTGATTAGCTGTGTATTGTGTGCAAGTGTCAAAGTTACAGCTCTTTTGTGGGCCGAGAAAATCCCCTCTGAATATTGAAACAATAGAATTTTGTTAATGAGTTTGAAAACTTAGTTTAGCTCGTGTATCTTCCAAGTTTCCAGAAGCTCATTAACCAATTCCTATTGTTTCAATATTCACGGGCTTTTTCCTCCGAGAAAAGAGGGAATTCTGGGACATGTTATATCACGTTGGAAAGAGCATGATTAGCTGTGTATTGTGTGCAAGTGTCAAAGTTACAGCTCTTTTGTGGGCCGAGAAAATGTCCTCTGAATATTGAAACAATAGAATTTTGTTAATGAGTTTGAAAACTCAGTTTAGCTCGTGGATCTTCCAAGTTGCCAGAAGCTCATTAACCATTTTCTATTGTTTCAATATTCATGCGCTTATATCTCCGAGAACAGGGGCAATTCTGGGACAAGTTATATCACGTTAGAAAGAGCATGATTAGCTGTGTATTGTGTGCAAGTGTCAAAGTTACAGCTCTTTTGTGGGCCGAGAAAATCCCCTCTGAATATTGAAACAATATAATTTTGTTAATGAGTTTGAAAACTCAGTTTAGCTCGTGGATCTTCCAAGTTGCCAGAAGCTCATTAACCATTTTCTATTGTTTCAATATTCATGCGCTTATATCTCCGAGAACAGGGGGAATTCCTAGACGAATATAGTGCGTTAGAAACAGCATGATTAGTTGTGTATTTTTTGCAAGTGTCGAAGTTACAGCTCTTTTGTGGGCCGAGAAAATCTCCTTTGAATATTGAGACAAAAGAATTTTGTTAATTAGTGAGAAATCTCGGGTTCAGCCCCTGGTCCCTCAAAAGCTTATTAGCTCATATTTATGGGTTTACATCTCGGTGAAAAGGAGGAATTCCGGGAGAATTGATAGTGTGTGAGAAAGAATGTGATAAGCTTTTTGTCGTGTGCAAATATCAGAGGCCCTTATCTTGTGTGGGCAAAAAAAATTACTTTGCCGGGAATATAGGGCAAAACTAACCAGTTTTAGAACGGACTGCAAGGCTCAAGAACGAAATTCTACTGTTTTAATATTCACGGGTTTATTTCTCTGCTACATTTCAGAATCACAACTCCACTGATAACTGAAACATGTGGGGAAGTAATTAGTTCTCTTTAAAAAGTTACAGGCCTGTTGAGAATCTGTTTATTCTAAGAGTCCAGACTTAATTCGCAAAGTAGTAGAGTTTCTGCGACTTTTAATTCCCGTGCGTTTTAAAGCGTCTAAGCTCTAAATATTATTGAAAGCAAAGTAGAAGACAAATTAAATGTTTCATGATTTTTATTGATGTTTATGTCATTCCAGTCGAGTGTCCGTGGTCCATAGTTAAAATTTTTTGTCGCATGTTGTAAACTGTTCCCACAATCCTTGTTTAAACAACGGTGTGCAACTCACTAATCCTCGTTGAGGTCCCGAAGTATTTCCGATGAGTATTCGTGTGCGTCGTCGACCGGGGGTAACCCGAAGATTTACATGGGATGCCCATGTGATTCAAACGTGTTCTAGGTCATTTTGTTTGCAATATTCCCTTCAGTTATTTGAGGAAGAAGAAGCTGGGAGAGAGTTGGAGCATCGCTCTGAGTGATGCTAGCTACTTATGTTTTAATTTCTTTTTCCTCTTCTGCTCGTAGAATTGTCCTGTTTTCGACTTCACAGATTTAACCAGCAATGATAAGCTAAGGAAAGGAAAGCACAATCATTTTATGTGATTAAATAATTCCGGATATTGAAAAGAGAGGCGGAACGCTTATAGACTAAAAATAGTTCCTCCTTTAAGGAGAAGTCCGACGCGCACGCAAAAAAAAATTATAGCGCATCATGCAGAACTCTGAGTGTACGCCTCACTCCCAGAGTTCCGTGAGGTGCGCTAACATCAATTTTCTCTGACTCTTTTTGACTTGCGCGAAGGACTTTGCCAAAAGGAGGGACTGTTTGTGGTCTAGAAAGCTTCCTCAAAAAGCAGATGCAATTGCAAAAATGTAGCGGGTTAGGATGTTTGTGTAAAATCGCAAACTTACCTCGGATCTTTTCTGAGCCTTTGATCTCCTACAATATCGGATAAAATAAAAATATTTAAGAATAAAAAGTGTAAAAGAAACTTACTGCAATAGAGCCACCTCTAAAAATAAGACAGACACTTATCTATAAAGCCTCTCTATATAATCTGACTCGTTCCCAGTCCTTTAAAAAATTTTATCGCAGCGATAAAGTGATGAAGAAGGGGTTGATGGGAAAGAGGACTTATTTCCTTGCTTTCTTCCAACCCATCATACTTCGCGCTAAACTGTCCACGTCGGTTTCCAGTGCTTTGGAGACAACTGGGTACGAGTCTGCTGTATACAGCAATGTCCTCCTTAAAAAGAGTTGATTTTTCTTCCTTAATTAAATTGTTCTTCCTCGTGTCTTGGAAATCTTGAGCTCATTCCCACGAAAACGATGCAGGGTTAGAAAAAAATTCTCGACTGCAAATCACGATTCAAATGTACCCACCTTTTTCCTGCCTCGGATGAGCATTTTCAACCTCTGAATTTTCTCTTCTTTTCTGTCGTTCCACTAAAATTGTTTCCATGGCTTTAGTTTTCCTGTTGAAACAGAATCACAATATTAACACAGTAACCCTGGTAACATTTACGTTTCTGACAAACTAACCAAATCTGCACAAGACTTTCCAATCATCCAGCTAACAGATCTTAAACATCCCTTACTAATAAAAAGCTACCAAAGATTAGGATACGATGAAGTAGGGAAAACTCCTATGTTCATCATACCTGTATTGCGGGTCTGAAGGATCCACAGCAAAGTGATGTGAAGTAAACAGCGCATCAAACCGAGAATCTTTCAGATCCACGTTGAAACTATCCTCCACAATTTCCTCGTCTTTCGCTTTCCTTTTCCTCTTCTTTTTGCTTTTCTTTTCTTTTTCCATAATTCCTTTCAGGCTAAAATGTTGTCGGTCGTCTTTCTCGTCCATTAAAAGCAATTCAAGCTCCGCCTTGATTCAAAATAATTAACAGAAAAAAATGTAATGTTTCATTTAGAAATATAATGAAAACATTTCGATGTTTAAGATAAGTAATTTTAAAATGTTACTTTCATTGCATGATTTTAATGCTGATATCCGCTAGCTTGCTTTATTGTGTCGACACGATAGAGCGCTTTTCGATTGAGTGTCTGAAGAGCCTATACAAATTCAGAGTAAAAAGTCTAAAGTGCGGGAAAACGCGGGTGACCAAGTCGTGATTGGTTGTAGTTTTGTATCTGATTGGTTAAAAGAATGGCGCGAGTTTTCTGGACCAATCACAGAGCGAAGTAAAGCAAAAACCAAAACAATCTCGGATCACTTTCGACACTCAATTCAAAATTTCTCTTTTTTCTATTTACCTTTAAATCCGTTCTTGTTACTCACCTTTGCCTTCTTTTCCTCTTCAGTTTCCTCGGCTTTCCGCTTCCTTTTTTTCTTCCCTTTCTCATTGAACACTTTGTCAGGTGTCTTTTTACTTTTTATATCAGTGCCAAGTTCTTGGCTGAAGAAAGGATCTGATAGATCAACATCTGAAGGAATGTCGTCACTTTCGTCGGAATCTCTGACTGTTGAACTAAAGTGCAAAAAGATTCTTTGATGTAACCTTCATACTTCATAGCACCCATCAGCCCAGTAAAAATCCACAAAAAAGAGCACAACTAAAAGTTCCTTTCAGCATAAAACGTTTCCGATTCAATTTTCTTCTAAAGAGGGAACGCCTGATTTCATGTTACAAAACCTGTGAGTCGTGGCTCATGACTACTCGACTTTCATGCAAAATTTGCCTTAAAAAAAATGGGACCTCCCCAGATGCAATTTTCTCCAACCATGCAAGTACTTCCCGGGAGTGAGTGGGAACGGGTCTGGACTACTAGCCTGTGATCAGCTTATTTTTTCATTGACCAAGACAGAATTTCTTCTTACAATATCAATACAATATCAAGCAGACAGGTAATGAGAATAAAAAAGATATATCAATTATGGGATTGCTGTTTGATCCAACACCAAATACTCCAAAGTAACATTATAAGAATTGTATGTCAGGCAATAAGGAGAATTAATAATGAGATCATAAGGATGAAAGGGATTAAGAAAAAAATTCTCCCACTTGAATCTTATGCCTCAAAATTTAATGGGAATAAACCTAATTGCCAACTCATTAAAACATTGTTACCTGGCCTCTCAGTCAAACCTAAGTATGAATCAAATTCTCTCTCACTTGTTGTTGGCAGCTTCCTTTTCTTTTCGTTTCTCTTTCCTCTTTTCCTTCTTATTCTGTAGATATGTCTCCCATGGCGTCATCTGTCTTCTCTCTTTTTCTTTTAGCTTACTGGTCACCAGGTCTTCTGTAGTTTCTTGAAGGCCTGGTTCCCAAGTGATCTCTAACTCCTGATCTCTGTCTGACTTGTGCTCTCTGTCTTCAATCTCCTTTAAAAGTTCCTGTTACCATGGTGATAAAAAACACCATATTTTCCAATTTTTGGTAGGGTTTTAACAGCTTCTTCTGACGTTAGGGACCAGTCATTTTTGTTGCCTGGGAGGGTGGAGGATTTTTAGCAGGGGGTGGGGTGGGGGTGACATTGTTTTCAGGGGGAATGGAGGGGGGATCAATCATTGCCAACACAGTATAAAGGGGGGAACTGTAGAAAATTGATACCAATAAAAGGGGGGTTAATAAGAATATTACAGAGCCTTATGGGGGGACCCAACCCCACCTCCCCACCCCTGTGATAAATAATGACTGGTCACTTAGTCAGTCTTCTGGGAAAACATGACTTTAAATAACAGCCATCACTCAGGAGCAAGGTGACCTAGCTTAAAAGGGGAGAAGGACCCTGACTGAAGGCAATGTCCCAACGGGGTGGTGTGACTAAGAGTGACATGACAAAGAGGGAATAACATGCACCATTAAATGTCCTTTAGTTCCACTACCCCCCCTCCCCCCACCCTCCTCACTCTATCCTGTTTAAACCAAATATCTTAAAGTGCAAATGACAAAAAACCTTTGGAGAAGCCTTAAGCAAAAAGTTCAAAGTAATTCCTTCACCTTGTACTTTTCAATTTTCTTGTCCTCGTCATCTGACAAGTCATGGTTACCATTCTCATTTTTTTCTGGTTCATCCTCATCTGAGGAAGATGCCAGATAGGCATTAAAATCCATTTCAAGTATATCTTCTTTTGTGAATTTCCTCATGGTTGCTCTTTGTCGTCCAAGATCAGTTTCATCCCATGTTAATTTAACATTTGTTTGATGAAGAGCTGTTGTGCAAAACCTGAAAAAAAAAGAAATAAATAAAATATCATGCTAGGAAATAAATCTATTAACCACAAATTTGGGCTGAAAGTTTTATGGAAAATGTACACAATTACAGAGTGTGTACTTACTCTGGTGCAGTATACATGCCCACAGGTGGTAGTTCTGTGGCTACAGAGTGGGGTTCCTGATCAAACTCCATATCATCAGGGATGTATCTCAAGTCAAGTAAATTTCCACTCAGTTCAAATTCTGTTCCATCGCATTCATCATACAGGACTTCTGCCGTCTCTGAATAAAAAATTATATCCTTATGGAAAATTGACATCAAATGTAAGTTTGAGCACCAACATTTGAATTACCTCTACAATGCAACAAGATAGAGTTTTTTTATAATACATTAGACTTACTATGAAAACTCTGATTGGTTAAGAGCATGCAGTAAATGCCATGTGAAGTTGACATGATAACCTGATGTCTGCTGCAGATATTGGGTTATCATGTCCAGTTCAAAGTCTGCCTAGTTTTCATCTATGCTGTGTTATCAAACTTGCAAACTTGGAGAGAAGTGTCATCCCTTGCAAAATGTTAAAAAAAAATGTATAATAAAACAATGATTGAATTTGGTTTTTGCATGATATCATGAATTATCAAACTTTGTGTCTGTGTTATTTACCTCAACCTTCGACTTTGGCAGACAACTTAGACCTCCACATTGATAATTCATGATGTCGTGTTCAACCTCATTCAATAATTCCTTATTATTACATGTACATGTACCTTTTGAATTGCATTCCACAACTGCATAGAAATACCGAAGTCTGTTTAATTGGTATTGTCGCAGTTTCTCTGTTGAAAATGCAGACCCCTGAGAAAAAAACACAGATAATAGAGAACTTGGAACATTTTTTTATAGGTACAGCATGTTGTCCAATCAGTACTTTCATTATCCTTTAACTTCCAAGATCTGATTGTTAATTCCATCTTCTACAGAACTGCTTGCATATACGTTAACCAAAAAATATGAATAAAAGGTACCAAGGTATGAAATTCGTCTGCACAGTTAACATATACACGAGTGGTACTGTAGCTGCGTACTTAAAACTTTAGCTGAATAGTCTTTCCCTTTGCTAGAGTTACATGTAACATCTTCAAAGTATTACCTCTCTGTTTTTACTGTCTTCTGCTTCCTCATTGTCACTGATATCATCTTTAAGCTCCACTGGCCCTTCGCATTCCTCTTTTGCCATTTGTTCAAGTCCATATTCTGAGGGATAAATCTACAAACAAACCAAATCATAAATAAATCAAAATTGTAAGCCAAGAAAAAAAAACTAAGAAGGATTTCCATGGAATACTTGTACTTGAGTGATCAAATTGAGTCGGTTCAAAAGAGGGCTCTAAAAATCATTTTCCCGTTTATGAGTTATGAGGACGCGCTTAAGAAGTCAGGCCTAATTAATCTATGCCAGAGGAGGGAGGATGCGTGCGTCACTTTCCTTAAGCGGAGTTACTACTCTTCTGACCTACTACGAAATCTAGTACCGCGATGTCAACTTTCAAGACCATATGCCCTTAGGGCAGGAAGAACCATGTCTGTACCTACCTCCTCAAGATCTATTAGATTTGGAAATTTTTGTACTATTAAATATCAGAATCATGTGTAGTATACTTAACTGCAATTTATCTTATTACTTATAGTATTTAATGTTTACACAATATTTAATATTTATATTTAATTGATATCTAAAATAGTTCTATGAATGCATAATGTAGAAGTATTTGTAAATTATGACCTGCCTTGTAATTCAGTTTCTTCTGCAAGAAGGCTGAATAAACAATCATCATCATCAATATTTCATTTTCATTACCTTGATAGACTGAATAATACCTTCTCTGGGTTTGAAGGAGTTAAACAGGACTGAAAGAAAAAAAGACAGAAGACAGAATTTCAGAGACAGGTTTTCTTTTCTTCTAATTGTGCTATGCATGATACACATAGTTTGCCAGGAAAAATTTAGACAGAAGTGATTGACAAAAATATAACAAGGTCATTTGGTATTATCAACTGAGTTGATAATGTAAATTGGCCACCATTAAGAGTTTGGAAGCTGATGTTTGGAGCCTTAGCCCTTCATCAGAGCAAATATTTCAGTTGATAATTATACTAAATTACCCTGTTACACTCTCCCACCAATGCAGCACCACAGTTCCTTTAGAAACTATCCCCTTGATGACAAAAAATATACTCTACCAAACAGGTCAGTTGCTGTCACTCTGTCCCAGTCAAGGTTGCACACTGCAAGGCGTCTTGTTGCATCTTCTGTAGTTTTGGTGGAAACACCCATTTCTCCCCAAGGATGCTCAACATCATCCTAAGATATGGATCAAGAATGGTTTAAAAAAAAAAGCTTTTTCAAACAATTAATGTTTTTTGAAAAATGCAGCAGCTAAGTCCAAACCTGTATTGCTTCAATTTCAGGAATGTCTTCATCCTCTTCATCTGATGATGATTCTATGTCTCCTTCTCCCCTGCTAATGTTGACTTCTTCATTATTGGAGCTCACACCTTCATCATCATTATCATCATCATCATCATCATTCTTGTCATCTTTGCATTTTTCTTTGCTTTTAATTTTTTTTACATTTAATATGCTTTTTTCAACATTTTCCTCGTTACTACTGTGGAATTTCTGAAGCTTCTCTTTAATCTTTTTTCTCTTCTGTTTAGGTTTTATTTCTTCCTTTTCTCTCCTAAATGAATAAACAAACATGTAAATGAATCAGTCACTTGACAGTTTCTTCACGAAGAGCTGAAAACTGGTGCTCAAACTAGACTGTAGTAAAAGCCAGCCAGCATCTTAAAACAAGGTAATTTTACAATTTCATCTGCGAGAACTATTGAGAATGTTGCATTCGAAATTTTGTACAGTTATGAATCAACAGGCAAATGGTGCCTCACACCTGGACAAGCTTTCCTGTGGGATAAAGAAAAAAAATAACTTGATAGTACCTCTTCATTTTATTTTTATCCTTTGGCATCTTGACACCTTTCTTTTCAATTTCTTCGTCCAGGTCTTTTTCATTGTCTTCTGTAATGAAGAAAAGGAAGTGGTGTGGTTAACTCCACAAAAGAGTCACTCAAATAAACTCTTTACACCCAAACATCAGTATGCATATTCTCCATACTGTTCTCTATACATTTCCTAAGGTGCTGACAAGGAGAATTTGTTTAGCAATCAAGAGCTTCTTTAGTCGGTGATCATTTCCTTTATTCTCATAACCATAATGTGTGATTCAGAGGTGATATTGTAAGGAGAAATTAATTGCTTGTCACTGTTTGGGGTCAAAGGGTTATGAGGCAGATATATTGTTAACCTCTTTTTTATTCCAAGGAGAGACCAAAAGGAAATTTCTCCTTACAATATTAAAACATTCTCAAGAGGAAAGATCATGGTAAGAAGGAAAAATATCAACTTGGGGATATTGTTTCATCTGAACATCAGTATGCATATTCTCCATACTGTTTGCTCTTCATTACCTAAGGTGCTGATAAGGAGAAATTGTCAAACAATCAGGGGCTTTTTTAGTTGGTGATCATTTCCTTTATTCTCATGACCATAATGCATAATGTGTGATTCAGTAGTGATACTGTAAGAAGAAATTAGATGCTAGTCACTTTTGGGAGTCAAAGGGTTGAAGAGCTTAGAGCTTAGGTGGCAAACAGAAATTTATATTTAAGTTTTAAAAGAAATACAAGTTATGATATAATCAAAGTTTTGCTTGAATTGTTTGCTATACCTTTGTCTGATTCATCTGAGATTTCATAAAATTTGTGAAGATCTTCTTTTGATGTTTTCTTGACTTTTGAGCCACGTTTGTCAACAAAATCTACAGATAAAAATATAGACATACATGTAACTGAGTTTGACAAAATCAAAAAAATAAAATTACTTATCCCTTTACACACCAAAATCAGTATCCATATTCTCCATTCTCTTCTCTACACATTTCCTTTGGTACTGACGAGGAGAATTTGTTTAACAATCAAGTAAATGACATCAAATTAGTGGAACTTTAATTAAACAGATTTCTTACATTTTGTTGTGAAGCTCGTATCCGTGAACATTCCTTGAAATCTTCCATCGATCTTAAGCTTCTTCTCCTTCCGTGATATTTTCTGAAAAGGATAACACACGATCATACTGATGTGGGAGAAGCTTCGATCGGAGTCTATCTGTTATCAACTACAATGTTCTAAGGTTTGGCAATTTTGTGTTCCTTATGGGTAGATTTTTTCACAGAATCAACGACAATTCGAAAAGGAAAATGAAGATTTCATTAAGGATATGGGTAGCTAAGGAACTCAAATAAATTCAGGCCATCAAATAAATTCAGGCCATCAAATAAATTCAGGCCATCAAATAAAACAGCTGAATTCAAACCTTACTTTGAATCGCGGGTCTTGAGTCACACGTGCGAATCTCTGATCGGCTTCCATGTTCTATTTTCAGACAAATTCTTCACGCGATTAACAACTCATTGAGATAATCCGCTACCTATATACAAAAATAACTAGGAATATCTTTTACGGAAGAATTTGAGAACCTGTAAAGGCAGTTAAAGGCGATCTTGTTCGGATAACCAAAACAAACTGCGACGGGAAACGAAAACGTCTAGGCATCCATTTGCTAGGTAACCACTCATATTGCGCAAGGAGCTACAGAAATTACCTTACCCCACCGGGTAAAGATTCTGGACTAGGGGCTTCTATGTCTTACTGGCATTTGGAGGACGAGGGTCGGGGGGAGGGGGGGCACAGGACAGGTCAGTTTGTTACCATTAGTCTTGACTTTTTCTTTATTTGCTTCTTTTTCAAACACAGTTCCACAAGGACCCCACTTTTCTAAACTGTTACAATAAGTAATTGGTAAGAATGGTGCCCAAAAAAGAAGCTGACATTGAGAAAACAGTAAAAGAGAAACAATGAAAAAGAAAAAAAACAAAAACAGGGGATGAAAATTTTTATATGATAAGCAGAAGACAGTAAAAACAGAGAGGTAATACTTTGAAGATGTTACATGTAACTCTAACAAAGGGAAAAACTATTCAGCTAAAGTTTTAACTACGCAGCTACAGTACCACTGGTGTATATGTTAACTGTGCAGACAAATTTCATGGCTTGGCACCTGAATCCTACACACATTTTAATGATCTGCCACAGGGCAGATGCATAGATGTCACCATTAACAACAACATCTTGCTTTTATATTGTAAAAACAAATATATTCCACATTGCCACAGGTCTCTCCAGTAACAAATCATAGACGTCTAAATGTGGTAAGAACATAACTGACACATCCAGCTGCACTTCATGTGCCACTTTTTGCTCTCACCAAACTTAACCCTTTACATCCTAACATCAGTATACATATCCTCCATACTTTTCTCTACTCATTTTTAACTTGCTGACAAGGAGAACTTGTTTAACAATCAAGAGCCTCTTTAGTTGGTGATCATTTCTTTTATTCTCATGACCTTAATGCATGACTCAGGGCTGATATTGTAGGGAGAAATTAGATGCTTGTCACTCTTTGGGGTGAAGAGTTAAATGTCATCTGTAATCCATGAGTAAACAGATGCACTGGAATATAATTTATCTTTTTAAAAGAGACAATGGACACCCTAGCCTCAATATACCCAACAAAACTCATTACAGGCCAAAAAAAAATTAATATCAAAATATAAATGATGAAAAACTGAACCCTAAGAATACAAATGCAATTTATTAATTTTTCTTGAAGAAAGTACTACTGGCCACAAAAACAGAACTTTTGAACAATGACCTCTGACTTTCATTTGATATATTTGTTTAAGTCTACTAGTTTCGTGGATGGATCAAGGATGGAAAAGTCCATATCAGTTTCACTTTTTAAAACATCTGTGGCCAGCTATCTAAATTCTTTCAGAATCACCCACAAGTGACAAACTGATATATATACCTTTACTGAAATCATAATGTCAATATTTATAGACCAAAACTACTTGATATGAATTTCATCATTGACATTAAGTCATTTTTCCTTGTGAGGAAGTAATCTTTGGAACTTGTAAGAGCAATTTCCCTGATATATTCTCTCTTGTTTGCCACTTTTCTTTTTTTTTACAAGGTTATACTGGTCATGCTGGGCTGAACCTCTTGAGGAACTTGTAGTTTGATAAAATAAAAAAGTATCCTTGTAGAATGAGTGTGGATTCCTTTTCACACATGTACTTTGGTACAGCTGTTGTGTGCTGGACAAGCAATGTCATCTTGTTTGCATCAATCCTCTCCTTTGTAAGACACCATTGTATCCACTTTATGAACAGATGTTGAGAAGGACCTTAATCGCACTTCCTGTGAATTTGCAATGATCCTCGCTTGCGACTCTTCCCAAGTTTCAGGAATCTCTTGATCTCTGTTAGTGTAAGCCAGTAGGTCAAATGCACCTGAAAACAACAAAAAAAACAAGCACACAAACAATTGATTGCAGTTAAAAATTACCATAATTTTCACAAACAAAACAATGCACTGCCCTCAAACTAAAAAAAAATTGAATAACACTTACATCGCTTCTCAAGAAAGGGAAGGAAGGTAACACTGGCTGTAATTTGTCTGATCACATCTCTCATTTCTCTTTGAATGTCTTTCTTGCTTTTTGATGCTGGAGGTTTACTGAAAAACATAAAATTAACATCAAAAGACATAATTTTCACACAAATGTAGTTGTCTCTGTCAACTTTCAGGTGAGCTCTTCTGTTTGTAATGGCGATGGAGAGACAATATTGTATCTTGATAAAAACTTGAGGGTTGAAGGGGTTTAACCGCCTTAAGAAGTAGCCCCTCCTGGAAACAAAAAAACAATAAAAACAGACCAAAAGTTGTGAGACAGTACCGTGAAGCCTGAGCCCTACATGACAGTTGTGTAAATGAGGAAACACATCAGACTGATAAAACATCCAAAACTTCCATACTGTGTTGACTGTACAGCCTGTCACCCACTTATGCTCAAACCTCACCCTTAACTATTGCCAAGCTTCATATGCCTGCTATTTAGTTGTTTTTCCTAATCAAGAGTCTGGAATAAGTATATGAATCCTATCATCACAGAAATCATATGTATTTAATCTTTATGAATCTTTACGAAAGAGGTATGGTTTTTCAGTATGTATCAGTATAATTATGCAAGTGAGGTAGTTACAGAAAGAATTTTGAAACATTCCAGCATGGTAGTCACAAACCCTGCTCCTTTCTTGTTTTCTGTTTGCTCATTCTTTTCACACTGAATATCAAACTGCCATCTCTCTATGACTTCATCAGTGTCTACTTCACTTATCACCATGACAACCCGCTGGAGGCTATTGTCCTCAAGCCAGTCTGAAAGAAAGAAAAAACTCAGATTTTAAAGTAACCTACAATTAGCTGTTCTCCTTTCAGGGGGGAGAGCATGAAGTAATGTAGCCACAAGATCTGTGTGTATAAAAAATTACCAGGGCCCTTCATAGGAGTAGGGAGTGTAGTGAAGGCAAAGACTGTTTCACCTTATAAATTAGCTTTAAGATTGCTTGATTACTAACCCTAACCCTAAGCAACAAAATTTTTCTCAAAGAGTTTACAACTGAGCCAAAAAAGCCTTCACTTTGAAAATTTTCCAAGACAGAGTGTCCCCCAACCCCACTCCTCTAAAAACACACTCACCCCTTGACAGTAATGAGCCTCTACCTATCGGTAATTATAAAATGTCACAATCAGTGCAGCCTTTAGCACCCTCTACACTACTTATTTCATTTCAACCAGTCTGATTACAAATATTTTTTTCAATTTCCTGCCTACCTTTGAGCTGTTGTAAAACCTTGGACAGGTAATCTTGAAGATCCTTGTCGTCACTGACGAATAAGGTCAAATCATAAAATTGCTCTCTCTTGAAAGAATCAGCTGGATAAATACCTCTTTGATACAAAATGCTAAAGCAGGACAAAAAGACCAGTAGTAAATTAAGAGCTTATGAAATAATACACAAGTGCAATAATTGCAAGCTTATCCTAGCTAAATAAGTCGATTCAGGGAGTTAGTACCGGTAATCTCTGCACTCTGACCTGTACACCTTTTTATCAGCAATCATTCAAATAAAAAGGCAATCAAAATAACTTATCCCACGCAGTCTCTGTGAGCATTCTTGATGTTTTAAGTAGATTAAAGAAGTTTTGTAGGATTCAAATAAACTACAATAAACTTACCGTATAAGCCAAGTAATAATCTAGCTTACTTAAGACAATCGACATCCTCTTTTTAAATCCTAACTTAGCTATATGCAAAATTTCCACAGTTTCACTGTTAAAAACTCTAAGGAAAGCAAAACGTGAACAATACACTTGTCATTCCATCCTCTGTGATGTCCTCAAATCAACATTTTAAACATGTCAACTGGTAAACAACAATACTTCATAAGCTTATCGATAAGAAACACGCCATAGAAACTCACTTGTTTATCCCGTAACCTGTAAATAAACGTAAAAAAAATATTTAAAGCTTCAAAAGGAGAGAATTTCTAAATCAAAACTTAACGAAAAGAAAATTACCAAAGAATTCTGTGACTAATTCAGCGCTTCCCTTCAAAGTAATCGCCTTGTTTTCTTGTCTAGTACATGCCGCCATTTTTCAAATCTAACGAGGCTTGCAAGGCAAGCTGGGAAGGACGAAGTCAGGGACTGAAACGGGAGGGAATCTGGAACTAGTTACCATCGCCATTATTACGTCATTTTCTTTATTCTGCATTCTCCCTCCAAATAAGGACTGGACAGTTTTTCGGCCGTAAAAGAGAGAGATTTTATTTTACTCTTGGAAAACGTGCTAGTGAAAGGTCATTTTTCCTGTGGATAGCCACAATTCTTCATTAAATGTAATAAAAAACTCCAGGGAAAAAGTTGTAAGAATTCTCATGTTTTCATTTGTGTTTTCAGACAAAAAATACTGTTTTCGATTATTTTGTAATTCTTAAGATTACTTATTCTTTGGATCTACTGAAATTAAGCGTGGGTAACTACTTTCGCTTTATCAATTTTCAAAATTTTAAAAACTGCCGAGAAACAAATTTAAGGAAAAGACCCACAAATTTGACGCAAATGGTTCTGAATACAGCGGATGGATAAACAGAGAGGGAAAAGAAAGGGTGCTGGCCAGTTATTGAGTGTTTATTACTTTGCGCTTTTCATTCAACTAATTTATTCCTGTTTTCTCGTTACCATATTCCCACCAATGGCGTAGCTCCACTTTCTGCATATAAACCCACACACAACCCACAATTCCTCTGATCGCTCTGACGAAGGGCTAACGCTCGAAACGTCAGCTTTTGTACCCTTTATGGTGGCTAATTTACGTTTTCAACCCAGTTGTTAACACTAAATTACCTGCTATACTCTCCCACCGACGCAGCACCACAGTTTCTTTAGAAACTTACCCCTTTGTTTATTACTTAAGTCTAGTTTGTTTCACTGTCTCATAATGGAAGTGTTGGACACATGGTTAGCAACTAAAATATAGAGATATGTCACCACTTAAGAAATAAATATTTTATTCAAGTTTTGCCTTAAAGAAAATAAAACAAAATCAATTCCCTCTCACCTAACCTGAAAATACAGCAACTCTTCACAGGTAATTTGGACACAGTACTATTTCTATATTACAGATTAACATAAGAATCGCATTCGAGATGGTTTTACGAGGATATTATGACTGAAAGACATTTATAGCATTATAGCTTCGAGTTTTTTTTAAAGGTAAGAAAATAATCATTCATCCATCATCTAGATGATGTTAACAACAAGGCCGCCTGGATCAGTTGTATCGAGCCTTCTCATTGGCTAATGCAAGTCTCCTGATGTTGCCAAGGCAACCAGCAGCAGCCTCTTGGAGAACTTCGTCGGATGATCCAACCATTTCAAGAAGATACTAACAAAAAGACGGGGAGTAAAAGAAGACCATAAATAAATACTTTGGTCTCTTCTAAATGAAATTTAAATAAAAACAACAACAACAGCATGAAATAAAAAATACCTTAACGACACCGCTGTTATGCATAGAGATGCAATTATCGGGGTCACGAGACAGCTGATGAAGCGCACGCGCGGTAGCCCTGTGTACATCCGGGTTCTTTGACTTGAGGTAGTATACTAATGGAGGCACAGCTCCCGCTTGGCCAAAAGCGACTCGATTGTTTCCCCAAGTACAGCATCTAACAAGTTCAGAAAATCAACGATAAATGTTCTGTTATCAAAGTCAAAATGATATTAATGCACCAAAGTGTGAGGTGTTGTTATTTGCACTCATATCGTTCTATTAGATTTTCCACAGTCTGGGTAAATGTGAGTCACCCTCTCTACCCATACGGTATTTTTTATGGCCTCTCAGGAAAAGTCCAGTAGGCCACGTGACAGAGAACCTCGCCACCAGGTCTCCTTGACGCGTTGATCTATGACCTGAAACAACCGGCGATAGCCGCGCAGCTGCATGACTAGAAAAGAACTTTAGACTCCAATAAAGATCTTAAAATCCATCGGCACGAGTCGTTTGCCCGAAGAGGATGCTTTACTTAATTATCAGTCTGTTTTACAAGTGAATCTCCCTCGGGTGTTAAGACAGTTCCTTCCAACTTGTTTTGATCTTGGTAATAAGTCGATAAAAATGCTGTTCTTCTTTAAAATCGTACTTACCTAGCTATCGATTCCGCTAGGTACTGACGTAAACGGTCATCAGTCTGAATTCAAAATAATGAATAAATGTTGAGATTACTATTGAAGTGAAGCATAACTGAGTTTAGCATTATAACCTAGATAAGATACAGTAAGTCTCCAGGAGCGAAACGTTCGTATGTTTAACATTTGTTGAGTTGGGAGAAATTTTCAATTGAGTGTCTAAAGCAATCAAGGATTACAATGGTTTTACTTTTCTACGCTCTGTGATTGGTCCAGAAAACTCGTGCCATTCTCTCAGCCAATCAGATTCAAAACCAAAACCAATCGCAACTTCGTCACACGCGTTTTCCCGCGCTTTGAGCAGTTTGCTTACTTTGACTTAGAATACTCATTGGCCCGTTGTGCAATTTTCCTTTCCGCTGATTGGTTGCAGTGATAATTTTGGTTTTCGTTTTATGACGAAAAGGGCTCTAAACCAGTTACATGTCTACTAATGCTAACCACTGGTCTAAAACTCCCCGCGCACACCACTTTTGTCATTTTTACGCTCACTATAGGATCGCTAATTCTCAAGCTCGAAAGTAAATTCGATGGATAAACACGTTCAAGCAGTTTATTGCAACAGTTTCTTCTCACCGTCGTCGCCAGTTTTGCAAGCATGGGTACCACACCATGATCTGTGATGACCGCAAGGTTTTCTTCATCTTTTGCTATGTTAGCAATGGCTGCACAAACACTCGCTAAAACCTGCAAGGGTGAAATAAAAAATTAATAAAACCGTCATTTTCATGCATTCTCCGACCCAACATGCGCCAGCGCCTTGGTAAACGGAGAAACGACTTTCATGTCTCCCTATCCACCTTTTTTTTCCTCGCTCACCCGCTACCTTACCATTCCTTACAAATTGAGCGCCTTAAACGCACTACCACAAGACTCGTTCCTTGTCATAACGAATTACATCGCTCTAACTTTGATCAAGTAACGATTACGTATGGAAAGGGGTATAGCGTAGGTCGACTCTAAGTAGAGCCCCTAGCCTCCCAATATCTGCGTAGCAAATTCTCCCTTCTGGATACTAAACACTTGCTTGAAAAACAGTGAAGAGAATTTGGTGTTATATCAATATGACACCATAAAGCCGATAGCTTTGTTCATTTGCATAACAATTTTTTTTTTGCTAAGTAATGAGCTGGTATTGTTAGAAAAGTTAGATTTGATCACGTCTGGGACTTTAACCCCTAAGAGTAACTAGTATCTAATTTCTCCTCACAATATCTCCCTGAATCACACATTAAAGTCACGAGAATAAAGAAAATGATCACCAGTTAAGGAAGATATTGATTGTAAAATAAATTCTCCTTGTCAGCTCCTTGGGAAATGTATGGGAAAGAGTATGGAGAATATGCATACTGATGTTAGGGTGTCAAGGGTTAAAGGAGTGATGTATGAAAATACCTCTCTGTCGTTGGACTTCAGCAAGCTAACAATCAGTTCCAGTCCCCCAACAAACGATCGCACCATTTCTCCAGCGTCCTAAGAGGTGAATGAACGGAGCTTACATTAAAATATGGAATCTGTAACAATGAAATAATTCGAACATATGCAGGCTGATCCTGCAGTTTTTAAAAGGCATGTACGAAAGAGCCTAAAAGGTTTGATTTATCTTTACCCATTTACGTGTACACGCACAGCCCCCTTGAAGTCTGCAAGACCCTTGTCAAGTATGAGCTTGGGAATGGCCAAGCCGTTTACGAACGAGTTCTATGTCGCTCAGAGGTAAAGCATTGAACCAAAAAGTCCAAAGGACGGAAGATCAATCCTTCGCTTACCTTCGCGTTTTCAATACAGGGGCAAATGGCCCAAGCGGCACTCGACTGCACCTGTAAGAAAAGAGCGTGATGTCAATTATTTGCGAAACTGTTTACCGAAGCCTACAGAATAGCAGGAAAAAATAATGTATATTAACATCAAAGGGTCGATAGAGATGAGAGGACCGCGCCCCTTATAAGTCCCTCATATTCCCGCGCGCGCCTATTTTGGTTGTTCCTGAGCGTACCTCTATAAGTTGTCCCATGGATAAATGGATGAAAGTTAGATCTTTTCGAGTTCCGTCTGCGCGCGCATAGGCTAGTTCTTCCGCGTGCGCTCGAGTTAGTTCCTACTCTGCGCGCCTCTTAGAGATCCTCCTGCACGTGCCCATGTTTCATCTTTCTTTTTGCACCTTTGTAAGTTCTTCCTGCGCACGCCTCTGTTGGTTCTTCCTAAGCAGACCATCACTATATCTTTCTGCATGCGCGTATGTTAGTTTTTCCTTTCTACATGCGCCTATGTTGCTACTTTCTACACACAACTTTGACAGTTCGAAGGCTCGTGCTTCTCGCACTTCTCGGGCTACTTAAAAATTCCCAAGTGCTTATATAACTCAACAATGCTCGAGGAACAAGTTTTTTATTTCTTTTATAAAATGTATCGTGAATTGCGCGCGCTCGTACCGATGACGTAGGCTGCGTGCATTATATCTCAACAGTGCACTCGTGTGACGTAAGGCGCGTGCTTTATGGAAATATAATGAACTCGTTCTGACCAATCACGGCGCGCGCATTTCTCTGAACATTTTATAATAGTTCTTTAAGCAAGCGCCTAGGAAAGTGCATCCTTCGCGCGCCAAAGGTAGTTTTTTCCGCACTAGCCTGTGTTAGTTGTTCCTACACACACCTATGTTAGCTCTTCATTCACGCGCTTCTGTTTCCTCTTGCGGCGCGCATGAATAATATTTCCTTCTGCACTTCTCCCTGTTGGCTTTTTCTTTAAGCGGTGCTACTTCTACTGGCGCGCTCAACATTTAACTGTGACGAGACTGTATCGCCTTTTACGAACATACAGTGATAGTTAACTAACCTTTGGGTTATTAGACTTGAGCAGGGACCACAACAAGCGCACTCCGTCAAGACGGTCAATGATACTAGG